GCTGTTAGAACAAAAGGAGATGACAGCCATTTTAAAGGAGATTTTTTGTGATGCTCTGTCTCTCAGAAAGCATTGTAAATCAGCAGATGCAGGCTGGCAGCCAGTGTGTGAGGTTTCAGTAGATTCTTAATTGAGAGGAAGTTTGTAGGATTTGCTTTTTCTGTTTGACTATCACTTGAGGTGAAAAAATTACACTATGCTGACTGTGACATTGTATTTTTTGAAATGGACATTTAGACAAAGTTCTGTGTAGTGCGATTTTGTGGCAGTAAAAGAAGTAGATCAATGTGCCAGCGAAAACTGAGCTTGACTTTTAACTCTGGCACTTTGACGGCTGATCTGATTCTGTAATTTTAAGTGAACAAGCTAGAAAGGAATGTCTGGTAGAGCACACCCTTGTGTCTTGGCAGTTGTGTTAAGCCAACATACATGCTTAAGTTAAGAAAAACATTTAAGTATATGTCTGAGAAGTTAATCGCCTGTGTAGTTTTATGTCCTTGATTAACTTGGAATCAGTTAGCAGGTTTAGAGGAATGAGTTCCTATAAGATGAATTCTCCTGTAAGCAACGTGTTACTATAGCAGCTAAAGCCTATGTAGTATTAGTAGGTAATCTGAAGATCCCTGTTAAAAAAAAAAAAAACAAACAAAAAACCAACCGAACCTGAAAACTAAAAAACCTAAGTGTAGGTGGCTTTATGTGCATGATGACTTTTCATAGAGTGTGCGAGTCCATCTTATGGAGCACAGTGCAGAACTGTAGTCCTGCTTTGTTGTTTAGCAGTACTTTGCATACCAAGGTAGAACCATACACCTTCTTATGAGGGTCTGTTTGGTTTTTTCCCCCTCTGTCTTCTGGCTTGTAGTGAGAAATGCACTTGTTGAAGACCAAGATATTTCTTTGCCCCATGACAGAGGTGTCTATAAAACTGGGAGCATAGCTGCAATAACTTCATAAGAAAAGTAAATTAACTTTTTCAAATGCCATAAAAATTTCCAGTATTTACTGAGATGTTATTTTATTAATTACACTTTAAACTTGGAATGTTCAAGGCAAAGTTGGATGGGGCTCTGAGCAACCTGATCGAGTTAAATGTGTCCCTGCTCACTGCAGGGGGGTTGGACTAGATGACCTCAAGGGGTCCCTTCCAACCCAAAGCATTCTATGATTCTATGAATGCTTTTTCTCTTTTGGAACAGAAATCTGCTAGTACTAGATAGAATGTGGTCTTTTGGAAAATAAATTGAATGAGATTTGATCCAGCTAATTTTATATTCTAAAATGTTCGCAGTTTTCAGATATTCAGGAAGTGGCAGGTTTGCATAAATTTTCCAGTTGGCTTATATACAAAATTATCATTAGTTTGATGTATATAACTTCTCTCACAGTAATTACGCTCTTTTTAAAGGGGTCACCTATACTTAATATTTTCCTGTATCAGAAGCTCTCAAATTCTATGCAAATTTAACCAGCTTACTTGAGCTTCAGTCAGCATGTAGTAAAGCGTTTTCCTTTTCTCTGTCTCATTTGTTGGGAGTTGCCAAAGAGGAAGTGATAGGGAACTAATATTTAGTTTATATTTATTAGTTTTATTTATTGAATTGTGTTGCATAGCTAGTATGACTTTCAAAATAATGTCAATAATCAAACTACTAATATGACCTCTAAAAAGAGATTTGTGTCTTAATAAACAACTAGAAACACAGGCAACCTGAAAAAAGTGTCTTCATGAGGCAGATGGTAGTTTGGCACTGGCAGCAAAGTGCACAAGCAGTGATATATAAAAAAAAAAAGTAATTTGTGCTTCTGTAAGTAGGTGCAGACAGAATGATACAGTCAAATACAAAGTAAAACAGTGGCTATAAACAGTACATAAAACAAAGTGAAAACAATAATAGGTTGCTGCAGCAACAGGTATTTTAATGATGGAGACGAAAAAGATCAGTGACTGGCATGTAAGTGTTGGTTGATGTACCCATTTATGTAAACAGAAAGCAATTTTGAGATGCTATACATGTATTATTACTACATTATCTTTTAATCATTGGGAGAAAAAATGTGCAAATAATTGCCTATCCAGAATGGTCGTCAGCAGAGAGGATAAAAAAAGTAAGAATGTTGGTTTGCATCCTTGTAATTTGCTGACCAGTCTTCTGAATGTTTTGTCAGGACTAGAATGGAATCTGAGAAATGGAGCAGTTCTTTTGTAGACTTCTCATGTACTTTGTATTCTGTATGGGACATATTAAAGGTGGACTAAATTAATTTGATTGATTTGTGTGTTGAGTTTCATACCCTGCATTTTTACCAAGACTACCTACATAGCTAAGCTACTGTAGTGTTTATTTAGGGAGTAAGTAGTAATAAATTTTGTCGTTCGTGTTCTTATTAGTCACAGTAAAGACCATTTTGTTAAATTTAAAGCTTTAACTAAAAACTTCAGTCACATATGTCCTTTTTGAGTTCACAATAATAATGAAATAAAGGCTTTTAATTTTATTTAAAAATTTGTAAGTACAGTCTTTTCAAATAATTCCTTGAAACAGACTAGTCATTTTCATCATTGACAAGTGGTAAACATTCTTTGGTTGTGTTGAAATTGGGGGTGTTTTTTTATCAACAGAAATTATGGTTCCCAAGTGTATAATTTATTCAGAAATTCACATTTTGTACAGTGCTGTCACGTTGTTTAGTTTTGCAAGGAGCATGGTGAGATTAATAGGGCTCTGATCTGTTTCATGGTTTCTCATTCAAACCAGTCCATTAAACTTAATAGGGCTGTGTGAGAAATTGCAGCAAATGCTGCTTAATAGGTGGGAAGAATCAAATAGTCAAGACTGAGGAAGGGAAGAGTGTTCTTGTCTCTGGGAGAGCAGTAGGCGAAGTGGTGAAGTGACACTGGTGAGACATGGAGACAACCCTTTCTTCCAGCAATTAGAGAAACATAGTACTTAAGAGTTTCAGATACTTCACATCTAGGGGCTGATGCCAACATTAGGGGTCCCCATGAAGCCTTCCTAGTATGTGGGTTGCGTGCTTCCTAACCGTGCACAACCAGCTCTCTTGTTGAGCCAACACCACTTGCGTATCTGGTGCCTGTGACTATGTTTAGGCCTCAGGCTGTAGGAGCTCCAGCTGTCACGTCCTGAAAAATTGTTTTCTATCCTGCAGTTGTGTAATGTTATGGGAACACTTAGGAATAATGATTTCGTTGTTTGTAAAGCATAATTAGGGGTTTTTTTAACCTACTTTTGCCTTTAAGCGGCATTTCTGCCTTTGAAAAAATGCCCCCAAGATGTAATGTTAAGCAATTACGCTAGTGTCCTATCTTGATATTTATGTTGCTTTTTTGTGCGTATACTGGGGTAGAAGCCACAGAGTAATTGCAGCATTGTAGTGTGCTCTGTTGTGTTTCATGATCCTAGATCCTTCAGCCTTTAAATCAGAAGGCTAATAGTCCCAATCAGGAGGGAATATTTAAATACGTAAACATGCATGTCGGTAAACTTTCTGGAGTCTAGCATAAATTACATGAGGACATACTGCTGAAGAAGTAAAACCACCTCATATTATTTGTCTATGAATTTTGGTTTGATCCTGTGGAAGGTTCATAGGGACCTCCCTTGTAAAATTAGCTGTTACCAATATATATATACCGGAGGTGTTTTATTGGTAACGGAATCAATGGCGCTTGTGAAATCTCACTTCCTACTGATTTGTCGGGAATGGTTTGTCCTAATGCAAACATCAAGCACTTTCTCGAGTCTTAGAGAAATTCCATTCAGGCACTTCCAGTTTTCTTCCGTGATCCATGAGTTTCCACACCGCAGCATCCTTCACCTTTTCATCTACCAACAGTTTTGGTTAGTTGGCTGGACAGGAGGTGGCAGCGCAGCGTGTGATGCCTCGCACTGTTTGCTCTTATCTCTGCGTGGACTGAACAAGCTAGCCAAGGTCTGACTCTTCTCACCTTTCCCTCCGTGAGGGCACTAATCCATCTCTCTTTCCTTCTGAGCAGCTGTTTTATGCAAAACTTGTCTGTTGTAGGAACTTTAATCGTACACACTTTTACCCCTCTAATAGATTCGTTTGAATCCCAAAAACCGAATTCAGTTCAAATCAACAGGGAGGGAAGGCGAAATAGGGCGAAATATACGCATACAGATAAAATGATGTCACTAGACTGTTTTGTTTAGGAAACTAAGACAGAAATGATGAAATGTTACCAATTTTTGTGGTTGGTTGTTTTTTTTAATTGCTATTCTGCTTGTGTTGGATGTTTCTGGCGTCTAGAGATGATATGGTGGAAAAAAAAAAAAACATCTTTCAGGTAAAAAAAGACAGTTTGCAGACCTTTATGAGTTTAGGAGGCTTGGTATGAGAACAAATTAGGTGTACCCTAAAGGCCTGAAGTGAAAGGAGAATGAAAAAAGTCTTGCTACTTCAAAGGCATTTAATGAGTGCTTGGCTTACGACTTTTAGTCACTGGAGGCCAGTAATGCGATGGATATTTTGCATGTATCTAGCTTTGCTTTGCTGAAAAATCTGTGTTTTCTAATATGTCCATTATGCCTAGTCTTTTTTTTTTTGAGCTAGAAATTGATATACCGAAAAGTGCATCATTACAAGCCTCAAAAAGCTTTCATTACACTCTGATGTTGAGGGATGTTACTTCTTCCTCTCATTTTTATTTGGGGTGGTGAATAATACAGCTGCCTCATCCTAGGATTATTCAGGCCTATGACCTAGCTTTCCAAATCAGCTCGGCTCTATTTTGAGTGTTCATGTCTGGGCAATGGGTAATTCTTAGATATATTTCCATATCTATTAGCTCAAATAAAACTCTTGTCTGTGCTGCAAAAATTATTGGAATGATAGCTCAGAACACAAAAAAGCTTTTCCCAAAGCTAAAGCCGTTGTCATTATTTTATCTGATGATGCCATCTCTCTGTCTGCCCCCCCCCCGTCCCCCGTCCCCCTGCAACTGGTTTCCCTTTCAGTAGTGAGAGGTGGATTGTTTCCTGTCAACACGATATGGTTTGTCACCATCATTCCGCTTCATGAAGTTTTCTCAGTCTGCGTGTGCTCCCTCTGATGCTTCAGATCTCAGAGGTGACCATACTGCCATCCTCCAGTGCCTCGTTCAAGCAGAGATGGTTATGACAAATGGTAACTTGTGGTTTTAGCGTGCCATCTATCTGCTTCCTGTTGTGCAGTTCTGTACACACATACCTCTGTATTTATGCTTCATTTTGCATTTATTCATAATTTCCTTCATGTATTTACATTGTAAGTTGTTCAGGGCAAGGTCCACATTTTTATTCTTGATAATATACAAACTTAGAATGGGATCTTTGAGTATGGCTCTGAGGTCTTACAGAAATAAATTATTTTTGTGTAGTTATTCTAACAGTCACTTTTCTATGAAATACATACAGGTGGATGAATAAGTAGTTTTTTGTGAGAGTTCAGACCAACATATGAAAAAAATGATAAGATATGATCACAAAGCCCTCTCCTTCCTAATCAAAAACACTGGTTAAGCCTTCAAGAACTCCATGACTGTGAGTGCAATCAATCCCAGCATTTAAGCTCAGATTGATTATATTGACAGCTTAAAATACATATTTAGCATGAGATCATTTATATCAAACACAACTTTTTGATAACTCATAACTGCTTCAACAGGAAATAAGAACTGCTGATTAAAAATAGACGGACATTATGTCTGGACTGTTCTGTCTAGAGTTTTTTGTTGTGTTTTGTTTTTAACTTTTTCAATAATATTTTTGAATGCTCCCAGGACTAAGTATTTGTTGCTTAATGCCATGATTTTTTTTCTCTTACATCTTATGGAAAAAAATAATACTTTATAAATTCTTGAGTTATTTTGGTTGAAATTTTGCTGCAATTTTCATAGGTGTAAGATCTCTGTCAAATAGAAAATACCTGGTAAATGGCAAAATATGCCCCAAAATTGAGTAAATATTTAGTTAGCCTTTCAAAACTATATTCCTCTGGTATCATCTCCGTGTTAGATTTTTTGGAAGATAAATATTGAGTTTTACTGTTTGATTAATTTGACCAAGATCTGCAATTCAATCTAATTGTAGACTTTTGTTTAGAGTTAGAAGTATCTTGACTATAGACCAATGGAGCGATAACCTGAAACAGTAGCTCTCTCTGAAATAGCACGTGTTTACTGGTACTTTGTGGAAGAAAAGAAAAAAACAGACTTGTGGGACTACCTTTCCTCCCCCCACCCCAGACAGATCAGATCAGTATTAAAGGTTGGCTTGGTTTTTTTACTCAGAACACCGAGAAGAAAAAAGGTAAGAAACCAAGGAGTATGTCTTGCATGGTTGACAGTGTATGGATTGTAATTGGGACAGTAAATACAAAGAAATTAACAGTAATGTGTCTAATAATTATTAGTAAATTGGAGAACATGCTTGAATGAGGTACTTCAGGAAAATAAGTGATTCTGTCAGTAATGCTGTTCTTCTTTTCTTGGTCTTTTCCGTAGCGTCTCATTTACGTAACTTCTCAGAGTTCTCGGTTAGCTGCCAGTATTGAACTGAAACATTTCTCGGAACACTCCAGGAAAAGTTAGTGATCGTTGTCCCCATGCAAGAGAGGTGGGAAAAGCAGAGCATTGAAACAACTGGTCTGACTTCCTTTAGTAAAGAAGAAACGTGGTTATTTTCTGGTCGATTTCAGTAAGCTTTGGCTTCCAGTGTAAGGCCCAGACCGGGCACTTCCCATTGCCATGGGCACTGAACTCCAGTTACGGATCTTAGTCTGAGAAAAGTATCCAAGACTTCAGTGAGTCAGAGACAAATGAGCATATCTCAAAAGGCATTGACTTGCCAACAGGTATCCAAATAAAAGGAAAAAAAGAGCAGTGCAAATTCTGTCTCTCTCATATCCTGTCTGCTTGATTCCCCAGTTCTCTCTCCATCTGTGCTGTAGGGCTAGATGCCGGTTTTCACGATTGAATCGTACTTCCATGAGCCACAGTCCAGTCCTGCTAATAACTGTGTGTTGCCTGGGGCATAGACTCACAAACGAGGTAGCAGAGAGAAACGAAGGTGTTACCTTGCCATGTGATACTTGCTAATGTGTGATAACTGCTAATCTGCACAGTTGTATACTGCCCTAAATGCAGAAGAGTTCCTCTTTTGGCTGAAACATCAAGTTACTGTTCAAGGATGTTATGAAAGTAAACATACTACCTTCTCTTCAACCTCTGCCCCTTACTGTCCCCAAATGAAAGTTTCTGTTCTCTATTTGTTGCTTGGTGGCTCTTCCTAATCTCTCCTAACCATGAAGCTCAGTGGTCTCCTATGGGTGGGTGGTCGTTACTTCTGCCCCAGCTGGCTTCTCCACAAATTCTAGAACAGTCCGCAGGTGACCTTCAAAAATACATGGCATCTCTTGTTCGATAGTTGCCTTGGAGAGTACATCCAAACAGCTGCCAGTTAAAGGATTGGTACAGTTGCTTGTGCAACATTGATTTATCCTTGTTGCGCTTACGTGAATTGAAACGTTATAATTCTATCATCTGGCACCATCTTTTTCTGTAGAACCCCTGCCTCCTGCAGTGAATGGTGCTCTCGGAATCACACTGAATGTCAGAGGTTGGAAGGGACCTCCGGAGATCATCTAGTCCAACCCCCTGCTAAAGCATGGCCTTACCCATAGCTCTTGTTTGTGCTCATAATTTCTTCCGCTGTCTCTGCCCCCTCTCTGGTTTTTACTGAGTAGCTTCCAAAATTGAATGTAGAGCTGTTGAATTTCCAGTGGTCTTTCCATATGATTCCTTTATTAAAAAGTGAGGAAATGTGGAGAAAAAACAGTGCTAGTAAGAGTACTATGAAGGAGAATCAAGTGAGCCGGCCAAGCTGAGAAAGGCAGAACTTCTGTGAAATAATGTAAAGATTTATCAGCCTTCAGAGAAGTAGATCACAAGATTTGAAACCAGCTTATTGTTGTTTGCTTTTTGGTGTGACTCTCGTATCTGCATCTGTTCCTGGGGATAGATTTATGACTTCTCATAATGTGTGAATAGATTACTTCCATGATGTATGCTCATACCATTTCTCATTTTGCTCTCTGTATTAAAACAGCAGGATGTGAATTTAAATCCTAGGTCATATGCAGAGTACTACTATTTTTTTAATTATGAGTTTGGCAGTCTCTTTGTGATCCCTTTGGAGCATCGTGCAATGTTGCAAAACTGGTAGCCGTCATTCTTGCTGCTTTATAATTTGCACAGGGGAATAACTTCCTCCCCCACCTCGCCCCGAGCTCTATTTTGTTCCTTATATGCCCTTCTCTACTAGGTGAGGCTGGGCAATATTAAACTGGTGTAATTTATCTGTTCTGCCACTTTCTGCTTCTCCAGGCATTTCAAATTAGAATGGATGAGTATTTGTGTGTGTGTAAAAAACCTAATAAAAGTTAGTATGTTAGCTATTTGAAAGGAGGAAGGCATTAGTGATCTTTTTTAAAAGCAGAAGTAGTATCATTATGCATTATATAATAACAAATAATAAAGTAGAAGTAATACTGTTATACATTATGTGAAATTGTGACTGGGTCAAACTGTGCCTTCATTATTAAGGTCCTAGTTATCTGCTCTGTGTTATATCATCACCTCTTACGCTGATGATACTTTTTTTTTTTGCTACTTTAGTTCAGGTGTGTGTCTGCTTTTGTTTGAGGGTAGATAATCCATAGCAGAGAAACTTTAGCAGTGGCTGATGATTGTGGAGAACAATGCAGTTTTGTAAGTAACCCATTTCTCTAAAATTATATAGCTTTATGGTATTTTAAGTATCATCTTACTGTAGAAGGCAATTCCTGCTTTTAGAGTTCTGCGGGTGTTTATAGATTATTCAAGTTTTTTGTCATTCTGGCAGTTGGAAGGTGGAAATGCATGCAGCCCCATTCTTTGACAGAGAGGGAATGCTAACCTGGTCTGTTGAGGCTCCATCTAAGGGGACAGAGAGAGGTGATTCTGCTCTGTTCTGGGAAGTCTGGTCTGAAATCAGCAGCACTCATGGGCAGGGCATCTCCCACCCTCCAGTCCCGGAGGTGTGGGGCTGGGGGCATGGCAGCAGCAAGCTGGAGATTGGCTTGAACCATGTCATCAACTTGCACTCTAATTTAGGTGCTCTGAATCACCTCTGGAAGACCCTACTTATGTCTGATAATTATGCTGGAAGCTTAAGGAAGCTGTCTGTCTAAATTATGTACCTAAAGTTAGATCCAGTAAGTACCCCCCACTGATAGTCAGATCCTTCCTGCTGTTTTTTTTTCTAACTGATACAGACCCTTTAAAGCACTGATTTATGCAGTTGAATGGGGTGATTGTTGACTTGCAATTTGATATTCAGTGCAAGTTTAAACGTTATACTGTTATTAAATTATCTAAAATACCCTACTTTAATATGAGAGGGGTATTTTTTAGAATCGGTGGCTTTTCTGTTTTGCTTTTTAGTTCCAAATTTTTGGAAGCAAAAGTATAAGCTGGGAATTTACCTAAAAATACTAAGCATAATTAAAATTCCCCTTCCCTGAGATCATCGTCTGTGTTTATTTGGGCAAACAGTAGCTTTAAAGCTTATATAAATGTTTATATATATGTATATGCATTTATATATAAAAATGTTTATCTTCTAAAATGCTACTTGAATTTAAGGATCACAAGTAACCTGGTAAACATGTTAGAACTTGTTCTCTTATTCCATATATACATACTACATGTAAACTCTATTTAAAAATGTTTCAAAACCACTTCTTTAAGAGTTAATAAGTATTCCTGGTTTTCTACAAATGCATTTTAGGGGCACATTAATCCATGGCTTCTGGTTTGCCCACCTCATTTACTATTTCAGTTAAGCTGTTTATAACAGACCAATTGTAAGTTGGGTGATTTGATTTCAGCATTGCATTAATCATTGTCATTTTACTTTGATCAGTAATTTGTTTCAATTGGATTTAATAATTTTAAAGTCTTAAAATGTGTTTACATTGCTACGGTTGTAAGTCCTACATAGGTCTAATGCCATTGCCCTGTTTTGAAGTGGACATCATTTGGATTTTGGATTTGGTGGCAGTTGGGGAGCAGAAAAGCCTGCAAACGATCCAGTGCTTAAGTTGGGCTACAGAGAAACTTGTGACAGCATGCACTCTTATTTGTATTACACCGTGTAGAGCAAATATGTACCAGCATGACTGATGACCCCATTTAATCATTGTTCTAATTACTATGATGGATTATATCTTCACAGGCACAGTTAGTTGACCTGAAGTCTGAACTGACAGAAACGCAGGCAGAGAAAGCAGTATTGGAAAAGGAAGTGCATGATCAGCTTTTGCAACTCCATGCTGTTCAACTCCAGCTACATGCCAAAACTGGTCAGAGTATCGATTCTGGGACTATTAAGGCAAAACTGGTGAGTATGGTGGCTTCAATGGAGGATTATTTTATACTTTTCCCTCTCCTGGCTGAAGTTCTTCCTTGGAAGGTGCAAACAAGCTGGTTACAAATTTTCACTTTGAAAATGTTAGAGGGTATTAAGTTTTTCTTTTTTAAGTAACATATACAGTTGGCTGTTAGTAACCATTAAAAATAAGATAGATAACATCATAATAATGAATAAGAATTTAAGAAGTTGCTTCTATATAAGATGGTTTTTACTGGTTTCTTAAAGTAGAATAAGAAAGTATTTTGGTGGTTTATAAAGCTTTTCTGGAGACAGAAGTTGCAAAAGGTAATAGTTTCCAATGTACAAATACAACCAAATCTTTACATATCTTAAAAAAGCCTAAAATGAGGTAAGTCTGTTGTTTTTATTGTAGTTGCACTCTGATGAGAGTAAGAATGGGATTGTTTTGTCATACAGAGATGCGACACAAAGTGGCATTGCAGTCCTCTCTCTGTTGTCATTCCTTCTCTTAAAGAGTGCTGCAGATGCATCTACGGCGCTATCTATTGCTATATGCAGTAATCTGTCATAAAAGAACTTAATAAACCACCACTGATAATTTTGTACAATATGTTTTCTAGAAACTTAGACCTTTACAAAACCCACCAAAGGTTAACAGTAATTAATCTGTGCAATTAGTTGGCATGGACTGATAACCAGAGTGTAGTCTGCCTTGTTACTAGGCTATCACTGAATAACAGGAGTAACCCAAATTCTTCTCTTTTCAGATCCAAAATCTGTAATTGAATTAGAGCTATATTCCTAGGTCTACATACTTGCATATTCAGTGGAAGAGTAACAGTTTCTGGATTGTCTGCACATAATTTATTATGTATTGAATTGTAGCTTAAGCGTGATGAAGATTCTTCAGAGCTGTTAATACTTTTTATGGCCCTGTCAATAAGCATTAGTTAAATATCACCAGCATTTTGTGTTAGGTGTGGGGTTAGATGTAGCAATTTTTTTAAAGTCAACACATCACTGCAAGTGATTTCGGTCCCTAAATTTTATTGTTGAGGCTTAACTTCTGAGTGACATAGAGAATAATACTTTTAACCTTATTGTTTCTCCTTTCCTTGTTATAAACAATTTCTGAAGATATATTAAATCTCCATGCTATTGTCGGCAGTCTTTTTCCTACAGGTGGCAATAAATACATTTTACTTATGTTGTTCCATATTTTAACAGTGTCGAAATTGAATTTTTTAACAGCCTAGACTGATATTCTCTCCTTAATTCCAGTTAGTTCCTCCTTTTTTATAAACATCAGGGCTGATCTTTTGAGTTTGGTTTACTTTGCCATTAGAGATTTCATAGTTCTAATGGAGAGAAACTCGCTTTTCAACTGTTCTAGGTATAGAAAGCTATAAAGGCCTGGGCAGCTTGAACAAGCAAAACTCAAGCTGCTTAAATGACAATAAAATGGCAAGTCTGAGTTTTAGGTAAATAAAAACTGATGCTGACCTTCTGGCAGTCAGAAAGCCTCTGAGGGCAAAGAGGGACTGTGTCAACATAATGTGCAATGAGGAAATAAAGTTCTGTACGAGCCAATTCCTGCTTTCTTTGTTAATGACAACCACTCTTCTTTTGTATGTAGACTCGCCATAAATATATAGTCTGCAAACTGTAAAATTGTACATAGTGGTGAACTAAGACATTTTTAAATGTTTCAGATTGCTAAGCAATTGATAATATTACGTGGCTTAGGCTGAATCCCTTCTTAGGAGTGGTGTATCTGCTTAGTCTAGGCACAGTAACTCTTACAAGAAAGAGTATGAAGTTGCCTAGTGGAATTTTTTTTCTTGAGTTTTGCAGTTGATACATCTTTTTTGCTACTTCTGTCTGTCCTTTATGTGCCTCTTGCATTACCTATTTTGTTATTCTTTCTTGAAAGGAAAAAAAACACCCCTATAATCTGTATAACAGGTGTTGTATTACAGAATGTATTTTCTGTGATACTTTCAAAAGTGCTTTCATGCATTTCACATTATCTTGCTACTCTTTATTAGATTCTTGGTATTTTAGGAGAAAGTATTGTTTTTGATACTACAGTAAGTTTAAAATTTTTAGTAAGATTTTTAATAACTTTCACTGCAAAATACCAAAATTGCTGCTAAGTACAGTTATAGCAATGTGCTTGTTCTTTATGCCTTCTAATGAAATACACAATCTGCTGGTAAATTTCTTTTGGAATAAGTCATTTATGTTGTTGCATTTTCTTGAACTTTGTATTGCCTGTTTCTCTAATTATGGAACTCTTTTCTTCTGTCTTAAGTCTGTCCTTTCTGTGGATGAAATGGTAAGTATGCTGATTGCCTTTTTTATGTTTAAGCAGTGCTTTTGTTTTGTGCAACAACTTCTATATGTTGGCCTCAGAAACTGGCAAAACATCTGGCTTTTTCCTTTTCCCTGTCTGTTGGCAAGATGCTGTATAAAGAATTTTCTTTGCATTTTAGTTTTCCTTTTCTAGTTTTGCTGCCCTCTTTTCTAAGTCTGTGTGTGTTTTATTTTTGTTACAGCTAATTTGGGGTGATATCTGACAAACTGATATTCTGAAAGGTTGTTCTGGCAGTACTCAAAAATTTTTAAGGTGTTATACAATTTCTAAAGCATAAACACTGTACACATCTATCAGTGTAATATTAAGTATTTTATATATTGTATTTTTAAAAAAAAAATCCTGTGAACTTTTCCTTGTTTTCCCTTTTCTTAGTTCTCTTTATGGGCATAATTTAATATGATTTACTGGCTTGTGTAACAGCCCAAAGCATATAAACTCAATAATGCATAGATAAGAAGAAAAAGTGATGCAAAGTTAACTTTTATCTTTTGGTCTTCACAGTGATAGACTTGAAAGGTTTTTAAACAGCTTTTTTTATGTTATATACCTCATTATCATTGCTCAGTATTCGCTCTTTGAAAAAGCCACAGGATAGCTGGTAACTGTAAGCTTTGATCTCCAGCATTGCAGCTGCATTTTTGGTTTGGTGTTTTTTATATTACCAACAGAAAATACAGTTTTTTCTGTTTTGCAGAACCTATGCAATACTATTAACACTAGAAAGCATGAAATAATTCTGTAACTTCCTCAATTTTTTTAAAGCTTTTTGGAGACTTACCACATCTCATGACAGTCGGTCAAAAAAAGATACATTCCTTCAGTACATATTCAGGTATTCTGTATTGCAGCCCTTTTCTTTGTGGTGATCAGTTGGAGACTGGTGTAGTGTTAAGAATGGCTTCTGGGTGTAATTTTCCACCTCAGTCACAGAGTAATAGTCATAGTAATGGAGAAAATAGAGAAAAAAACCCCAATTCTATGAGATGATATGGATTCCTCGTATTTTAGATATAACATTTAAAATACATGACTGAAAAGTGTCTAATTAAAATGATGAATCAAAGTCAGAGAAAATAAATGGAAAATTTCAGTCTTGATGAGAGTTTTTAAGATGTCTACTTCATATAAATACAGTAAAGTGTGGTACATGGAATTTGTTAGGGTAAGCAAATATCTTGGATTACTTAGTGATTCACTTTTCTGGGGAGGTTGGAATTCTTCTCCCAAGGTGTATTTCAGATACATCAAGGAAATCATACATCCCTAAAGCTTTTTTCTGAATAGAAAACAGGGCTGGTACATTCTAACAAATTATTGGTAAAGATATTATGAATTCTTAGTTTATGACTTTTTATTCAGTAAATAAATCATAAAAATATCCAGTGAGGGAGAAAGTGGAGGTTTAGGTGTGAATAATATACCTTCCTATGTCTGTCAAATTCTAGCCGTGGTCTTTTTATATTTGTCAAATAAAAGATGTTCTAAGAGTGAGTATGTAGACAAACGGGGGGGCCATACTACTCGGAACAGTATCGGCAATATGTATGTAGCTAACATACAGTTAGGAACACTGTACCTGTATACAGACTCTCCAGCTACTGTAAATTGAGTGCTATGTCTGATCTGTGACCCTTCTTACAGCTAAAGTGTGTGGCAGAGGCAATGCAGCATGTTGGCACTCTTGAATTCTTGTAATTGCCCTTTGGCTAACTGGCAGTAGATGTGGATTAAAATAGCCCAAGACCATTGTGATAATAGAGAGAACTGGTATAATTTTAGAAACTCCTGTTCTTCAAATGTAGATTAGTCAAAATTCTTGATTTAGGAGTAATCCTGCAGTTCAGAGAGAGATTTGCTGAAGAGTCATCTCACAAGACAGCCCCCAACTCAGAGCCCAGAGACCAGAAGAGGCTTTGTGTGACAGGTTTTCTAAGGTGCATGTGGAGTCAAACCTGATCTGAAACTGGGCCAGCATGGGAATTACAGGAAGTGGAATGCCAACAATTTTAAGCAGTCTTTGTGCCGCTCCTGAGCAGTATGCTAGGCAATTCCTAGCCAGTATATATATATACGTGTAACGTACTCCATTCATTTAACCTGATGCAAATACTTAACAGATGAAGGAGATAGTAGAGTCCATCAAGGCCATCAAATTCGGAGTTGACTTTCTGACAAATTGCTATAAATGCCTATTGTGAAAATACCTCTCTTTGGAAGGACCAACCTTGCTTAACATCTCAAATGTGGTAACACCAGCCATGATCATGGTTTTATATCCAGGCTTGGAATAGTGTATAAGCATATTCACAGTTTGGTAACAGATTTGTCTTGCCAATTCTGTAAAATTCCGTTTCTGTCCTATTGCTCCTTTAGTAGCACCTCCTGGTTTTATCTGTTTAATAATGTAACTGGTACAAGTACAAAGAATACTTCTAAGGTACTCTAAATATCTTAAAAAATATGTTACGGTGAACTTACTTTTATTGCTATTTCAGTTGACAGACATTTTTAAAAGGGAACAGTAATAGACCCTGTGTGTCTACTGTTTTTCTGGTTTGCAGTGGTTTCTGTTCCCCCACTTTGTAAGAGGGATATAAAAAAGATATAAAATACACGTCTTAAAGTAAATTTTGTAGAATAGCAGTCCTTACTGAGCATATTAATTCCTTTTACTCCAGTACTCTGGGTATTAGAAAAGATAATGACTACGCATTTTCTGTACATTTGAGATGGACCACTATGGAAGTAATTTGTATTTCCAGAATTCCTTTTTTTGGGGGGAGCCAGAAAAAAAAAAAAAGGGAAGGTACATTTTTTTAGAGTAGTTTTGTGTGGTTTGTTGTTTTGGTTTTGGGGGTTTTTTGTTTTAACAAAGGTATTTTGCACTAACTTCTCTTTTGTCAGGGTAGGCATTTCATGTGTAGAATCTCTGGCTTTATTTTTGTGGTTTTCAGAGTCTGATCTGGAAATGTCCTTGGCTGGACACTTCTTGGTTGTTTGCATGAAAATAATACAATTTTGAGGTTATACAGACTTAAAGAACATTTCCTTGACATCTGGTCATATTAAAAAATATAGTAAAAAAGTTAAAGAATATTATCGAATTGAAATATTTAGTGATTTTCATTTTTAAAATAATCTGCTCTCTCATTGTATGAATCTTCTGTCTGAGCACCAGAAAAAGTAAGGGTGATATTCAGGCTCCTTAAATTTGCCACCTGTGTGTGACAGGGAGAAGCACTCTGCTAGTTTCAGTCCTTGGACTTTGAATCAGTGTATGCATTTTGTGCTAAGGAGTTGTAAGCTGGATAAAAATCATGTCAGGAGCACAAAGTTGAATGCAAGGCCTCCTCTCCCCGGAGGGGAGTACGCAAACGGCTAGCTGCAGTGCTAGAGTCCCTGCTTTCATTTTTTTCCTGCATGCACGTCCTGTACACGGGAGAGTTACCTCACATTGTGTGTGCAGAAACAGTAATAACTCTCTCATTATTAACTTCGATAAAAACTTTCAAAAAAATTTTTTTTAAAGGAGAGAGAACTTGAAGCTAACAAGAAAGAAAAAGTAAAAGAAGCTCAGCTGGAAGCTGAGGTGAAGTTGCTGAGGAAGGAAAATGAAGCTCTTCGTCGACACATAGCTGTGCTTCAGGCTGAGGTTTATGGAGCAAGATTGGCAGCCAAGTATTTAGATAAGGAACTAGCTGGAAGGTATGTAAAGTCAATCTGTGTCCCTTAGCATGAGATGGTTTTTATTGTTTTCTTCCTTTGCCTTCCCAGAGGCAGGTCTAAAGTTAGCACTGAGTAGGAAAAGTCTCACATTTGCAGTTATTTGAACAAAAGAAACAACAAATGCCTGCAGTTACTGCACTTGCAGTAGTTGCTGCCTGACTGTGCTGTAGCCAGATGAAGTGTATGAGTTGTATGATGCGTTGTATTTTCAGTTGTAATACAGTGTATTGTTTTACTTTCTTTGTCATTATGTAGGGTCCAGCAGATTCAGTTACTGGGCCGAGATATGAAGGGACCTGCTCATGACAAGCTCTGGAATCAGCTTGAAGCAGAAATACACCTTCACCGTCACAAAACCGTTATTAGAGCTTGTCGAGGTCGGAATGATCTAAAACGACCAATGCAAGCACCACCAGGACATGTAAGTTGAAAAGACGAGCCATTCCTCCATAATTTCCAGCATTTGTGGAAAATAGATACAAGTTATTTATTCATTTTTGTGATGATTTTCGCTTCAGTATGGTGTTCTTTCAAATATCACTTCTAAATATGTAATTCTTTGGTATGCTGAAGGACAGTTCCATGCTGAATAGCATGTCCCCTTAAATGACTGTGAAAGATGATACAATTCCTTTGACTTACCTAGGAACACTCAGTCCTTTTGAAAACTGAGCCTCTGCTATGTGTGTGTATAAATGTGAATTTAACAGCATAATTTTGTTACCTAGGTTTCAAAGTGTGGAGCTAACTTACAAAAAAAGAACAACAACATTTTTAGCATTAGATTGAACTGTAATTTTTTAATTTTTTTTTAAAGGCCAGATAAAGTGACACTTTATAAAAGAATTGATTTTTTTTTTTTCTCCTCCAAAAGGTACTTTTTAAAATAAAACCTTTAAAAGGCATTTCACTGTGGATAACCTTGGTATAACTCACCCAACTTGGCACATGATGTAGTCCCTTATATTTTTAATAAGCGGCTGATTTCCTTCTTTTGAAGTTAAGTTCTGTGTTGTGCATCCCTCAGCACTGAAATAATTGAAGTAATTATTCTCATTAGGAGTGCATAGTGAGGAATCTTTTCTGATTTCATACTCTGCCTGTGAAGGGGCCCTGTAAGTTTGTCCTGCCTGGAGCTAGTTTACAACTCTGTTGCTGGCATACTGCCTGTATACAATTGAAAAAACCCAAAATGCATCACTTTTTGGTTCACACACTTACGTTTATGCTATGTTTGTTTTTTATCAAACTAGGATCCTGATGCCTTAAAGAAGAGTCAAGGTGTTGGTCCCATCAGAAAAGTTTTGCTAGTTAAAGAAGACCATGAAGGACTAGGAATTTCAATCACAGTAAATACTTACATTTATTTTTCCGTGACACAGAAGAAGTAATTTAAATTTGTATTTGTACTTCTGCAAAATATGTGGATCAGTGAATGTATTGTTAGCACATACGAAAAAAAGCATACGCAAATCCATAGCTGTGGTCATAGAACTTGAAGACTCATTTTGATAGATTAAGAAATTGATAACTGCTTCTTTATGTAAAACTTACGATTTCAACTTATGTTTGGGGTTTAGACACTTTAGCACATTAGCCAGTGGTGAATTTCAGGCGTGGAATTCTGTGGAAGAGCAGAAACAATCTTGAGAACTAACTTCCAAAGCTTAGCTGTTGTGTTTGTAACTTTTTTTTTGTTAAAGTGTTGGTATTAGCATCTCACACCTAACAAAAGCTGTATTAACTTCTTACAACACATTTTGAAAATTCTGGCTATTATACTTTTATTCTAAATATGAACATTGTTTCTTGCAAGTCGATACGGTTCCTGATGTGTTTTTTTTTAATGAGGTTTTGATGTTGGTCTTATCAGCTTGTATATGATTTTTATACTTTTGTTATTACTCAGAATTGTCTCCTCTGACTCTTTGAGTATATATTTGAAATATGTCCATTCTTTTGTGGGGAGAAGAATTGAGGGAAGCATCTTGTGCATTCTTTTTAAGCATTCTTCTTGTATGAAGCAAGCTTTCTAATTTTCTATAATAATAAGCACTTTAAGAGGAATTACCAGAATGTTGATTTTATGCTAACGGACATCTCTGTTAATTAAAACCTACCTTTTTTTTTTTTTTTTTTTAATAGGGCGGGAAGGAGCATGGTGTTCCAATACTGATCTCTGAAATCCATCCTGGACAACCTGCTGATCGATGTGGGGGACTGCATGTTGGTGATGCTATTTTGGCAGTAAATGGAGTTAATCTGAGAGATGCAAAACATAAAGAAGCTGTAACTATTCTTTCCCAACAGGTTAGTTGGGACCTGTTATCCATAGGCACATTTAAGTGCTTCCTGTGTTCTGCGTATTGAATTATCTTGAATTTTAATGTTTTCTGTTAAGCACAGTGTTATGCTAAGCTACAGTGATTCCTGAAGCTATATCACTTTACACTTAATCCTCTTATGTCTTGCAATTTAAGGAGAAAAATGCTGGGTCAGTGCTAGTTCAGTTAAACCCCTGTATTGGCTAATGGTTCTTCCGTAAGGTGATGGAAAACAGCTTGTTACGTTGCCCCACAGAAATAATATAGTGACATAAGTTTTATTCTTTTATGACTGGACAGCTCCAGCCAAACAATGTTTATCGTATTCTTTGTGGTCTAGAATCTTCTTCCTGCCTTGCTTCCCATTTTCAGACAGTTAACAAGTGCACTTAATTTATCAGAAAACTTGCATTTCAGACGGTAACTTCTAATGAGTATTGACAGATAATGAAGAAATTCAGGTAACTTTGATAAATCTTAGCTATAGAGCTGTACTTCTTTAGTCAGTAAAAACTTTATTCAGATACATATCCAAAATACTAAACACAACTGTAAATGTGTTTACAACAGTAATCTGTATTTGTTTTAGTAACCTAGCTTATCTGGGTAATCCTATTATGTAGCTGTGCAGCAGTAAGTAAACTTGTAATTTTTGTTGCATTTTAGAGAGGCGAGATTGAATTTGAAGTAGTGTATGTTGCTCCAGAAGTTGATTCAGATGATGAAAATGTAGAGTATGAGGATGAGAGTGGACACCGTTACCGTTTATATCTTGATGAATTGGAAGAAGGTGCAAATTCAAATTCTAACAGGAAAGATGCAAATGTGGATGTCAAACCCTCGCAAGGTAAACCTTCTGAAATGCATTACATGCAGTTTAATTCTGAAGTCTCAATATGCAAACCAATTTCTGGAAAACACTGTTTTTGTATTCATTGTAAAATTAATCTGCTGTTAATTCAATTAACCTACTAGTAGGCTGTCAGCTCTTTTGGTTGGTCCCTTACTTACTGGCCTGGTTTACTTAGATACAACTGAATTAACTGAATCAATTTGTGGGGCTTTTTTTGTGATCGCCTTTTCCCAAAGGTTGAAATTCAAATTTATTCTTATCTTTTCCTGACTCTGGTCTAGGAGTAGTTAATTCCCTTTAACACTGTACGTTGTTGGCTTCTTCAAACACCTTTTTTTTTAGATCAGAGAGGTATAGAAACAGTTCCTGTTTGCCTGTTATAGTATGTTCTGCTAAAACCCTATTAGGTCTTATTTTAGTAGTCATTTCAGCACACTTTCCAGTTTCTGAAATAAGGCTCACTGGTCTGTCCTTCCAAAGATTACTTCTCTTCCTTAAACAAAATTTCTTTTTAACTTGCAGCGTTTGATAAGAAACCAAGTATTGATGGACATGAAAACGGAGACCTGGGGAATTCAGTTGAAGCTGCGCTAGAAGACACTGTACCCAAATTAGCCCGTTCTGCTGAGTCTTTATCCTAAACACAAACAAACAAAAAATCAACTGGACAGATCCTATCTTTGGGAACAATTGATAATCAATATTGACTGCTCCAAGTTGCATATACTAGCGTAGGTAGTAAAAGGATGATTAAACATCAAAGGGAACTGTATTACCGTTGCCTGGAAAAAAGGCGGTTACCTCAGGGCTTCATTGTGAGCAGTTCTAAATGTGGAAAACTGTCTTTTGCGTGACACGCAGTAGTTATCTAACACATGGCATGTGAAACAAATTTTCTTTTAATAATAAGCACCAAAGCATGGGATTTCTAAAAAGGCTAACCTCAATACATTCAACTTTTAATCTCACTGATGTCCCCAAGGAAGTAGAATAAGATGTGGCCAGCTTTGTTTTGACCCTTTGATGTTTTAAAGGGACAACTGATGTTCAGTTTGGTGTGAAACAAGCTTTAACTCTAGAAGCATGGGTGCGGAGGGGGATTGTACCATTGCATCCATGAGTTTTGTACTTAAGATTTTTGAACGGTAACTTTTAAAAGAAAGCGCTTTTTTTTTATTTCTCAGAATAGTAAAAACCAGAGCTTTTATTTGAGCAAAGACCATCAAAACCCAAATGGGACAGTGGAGTACTTGCTAATCGTGATCTTTCAGCCCATGATCATTTTATGAGCAGGTTTTTTGGCATTGTTGTTTTAATGAATTCACTGCCAATTGTTCCATTTGAAACTTGCTCCAAAAGTATTTAAACAGAGTATTATGGGGTTTTAAAAGCAAAATTAGTTTAAAAAACACTCACAATTATGTGGGCCCTTTGGGTTTTTTTTCTGAGCATCATCGATTTAGCGTTCGTTCTTGAATGGATGTGGTTACTGCTAATGCGGAGTCGTTTGGGTTGGTCATCATTAGTTTGACTTTATGAAATGCTGAGTGCTTTTGATGGGTACTGAACATATTCATTTCACATTAAAATAATCTTTAAAGAAGTGAAAGTTGAGTGCACAGTACTTTACAGGAGGTGCTCAGAGTCGTATGGTGTCTGGCCCTATCTGTGTTATGGCAGTCTTATTAACCTATAATTGTCTTACTGTTGAAACAAAATGTTACTTCTTTTGTAAGAGCAGTGTATCTTAAAATAGCTTTTAATTGGTGTACATCTAAAGGCCCGTGGCATGGCTGCAAATGGGAACGTTGAGGACAGTTTCTTGGCCTGTTTCTCATACTCCATTTGTAGATCTTTTGGTGGAGTGCCGCACTCCCCACGTGCAAACTCTACATTGTAATCACATCTATTATTTCAGCATGCAGTGCTGGCTCTCCTGTTCACTGCTCTGCAGGCTGTTGAACTGTAATGTGAAAAGATAAGGTTTTATACATTGAGAGAGGAACTAATGTGAAAAGACATCTTTGCAAGTGTTACTGTGTAGGATGTACATACATAAGAAAAAACCTCAAAGGCCTTTAGAGTAACATCAACTAATCTTATGTTCTAAATTGTGATGTAGAACAACACAGTTACTTGTCTCTCCTAGGAGCACTATATATATATGTTTATAGAAAAAGCCTAAAAATGTATATACTTTATTCAAAGATTTTGCTATTTATAAATCCCTTAACTTTGCTATTTACATGAGTCGTGTGTGTGCGTGTGCGCATGAGTTCCACTTCCTCGGTGGAATAACATTATTTGGTTTGGTTTTTTATAGTAGTCCTTGTCATACAGCATACTGTTGAAGGTTTTTAAAATAGTCAAAGATGTACAGTTTTCACCAAACAGAAACTAGTATTTAGAAATAAAGCTGTGTGAAGGAGAAACAGGTCCCCAGGCATGTTTCTTTTTCTGAAGCTTCAGAAACTTGAGGACAGGTTGGCAACGTGTTAGCAGATAAATACACTGCCATAACTTTGCATCCAGATTCATCTTTTTCCCACAGTTACGTGTGCAGAGCAGAGTGCGCTCTGAGACTGTCTGTGGCCTGGACACTCCATGTCCTTTCTGTCAGAGGGGAGAGTTCAAAGCCAAGTAGTGATCTTCTCGTCTTTGAAAATCACCGCTGTATGAAATCTTGCTGCAGTTGTAAGAAGTGAGGCTCATCCAACGAGTCTAGTAACTTTTAAAAAAGGCATTAAATTTGCCTGTACAGTTTCCCTTTATTTGAGGGAAAGGTGAAATTTTTAATTTATTTGTTCTTCCGTACTTCTTGGCACATCTTATTTTCCACTTAATGCTTTCAGTCAGTTTTAGCCTGAAGTGGGAGGATGTTTCTAGAGTTATTTTCCTAACATTCCTTGTCCACCAGTTTTTCACGATACTGTGTTCTTTTCTTCATCTTCTGGAAGTTGCTGGACCCTTTCTCTGCTCTTACCTTGTCTATTTTTAACCTATATATGAGATCAACAGAAGGAACAATTGCTTGAGGAAAATGACTTGGAGTAGACAAATCAGGTAGCAGTAAATTATCACCAGATTTCCTTTCCTGCAGTTTTTATAATCTTTGTTTAGAAAGCCCTGGATGGGAGGATTTTGCGCAGACACTAGTCTGTCTCCATGTACTCCATACTTCCTACCAGCTGATTTAACATACCTGTTTATTGTAGTCATACTGAGATGCTTAGATACTAATATTTAAACTGAGTAAAGTTTTGCAAGTTGGGATTTCCAGATTCAGTAGACAAATGTGTGTTCTCCCCTTTGTCAGTAACTGGAAGACTCAGTCCTGCTGATTCCCAGAGGTTGAATGAATTAGACTTGGAAGAATTTCTGAGGAAAGTCAATATTCAGACTTCATTTTTATTTTTTAAAGTGTAAAACAGTTTACTTGTGTGTATATATATTTTTACTTAAAAAAATAAAATAATATTCTAAAGAGAATTTTGTGGGGGTTTTTTGTTTTTTTGGTTTTTTTTTTAGTAGATAATTCCTTGTCTATTAAAAAAAAAAAGTCTGCAGTGAGACAATTGTATTTTAAGCTAACGGTGGACAGTGTTTGTTGGTGTCCGGGACCAATGTTAGTTAAGAGCATGTAAGTTAAGGAAAGTGCTTTATGGCAATAAATTTAACTCTGATCAAAGGCTGTATGTAGTATTTCCTTTGTAGAAGTGTATTCTTGGCAATGAAGAGGGTTTGTATCTGTCTTGATATATGTTAATCCACAGTTGTATCAAACAAAATTCAGGTATTTATTGTATCTGTCCAAACTTTTATTACATCATGGATTAATCTCATTTCTATAGCAGATAGAACATTTTGCAACAAATGTATACATCTAGTTAAGCTGAATATATTTTTATTAGCCTGTAAATAAATATACTCTTCTGCATTGCAGTGATTTCTCCACCTAATTCAGACTGGTATTTAACTTTCTTCTGCTTTTATATATAAAATACAGACACCTAACCCTCTGTGTGATCTTCTTCTGTTAAGCACGTGGTTCACACCTGGCCAAAAAGCTAATATATGAGGAAAACCAAAAATACATAACATGAAACTTGACACTAACCTAGCTTGGCCAGCAATGGTTAATAACCAAGTACATTTTTAAAAAGATAGGGTTATAGGACATGTCTCAAATTTCATTATTTGAGATGCATTTTCTGCTGAATGTTTTTCAATAAGCAAAAAAAAAAATAAAGGAAATAGTTGCAGTGTCTGGCTGTATAATAATACCATAAATATTCTGAAGCCTTTGGCTAAGAAAAGCTATAAAGACCCAAACCTCTCAAAGGATTAAGCCATTTGGGTAAAATCGGGGAAACTGCTGGTTTTCTTTTTTGTTTGTTTGTTTGTTTTCCATGTATTGGGAATAACAGGTATCTTCTGACTTCACCACTGAAGTTACAAAACACTTATCTGTAAGATACAATTTTTAGTCCTGATAGTGAAGTTCAGACTAAGTGTCTGTTTCATGGTTTAATTTTTTTTTGAATCATCTCTCACCTATACTTGAGTAGTCTTGCCCTAAAGCATCAAGTTCATCTGGATGAACAGAGAGCTCAGATGAAAGGCAATGGTACGGTAACTGTGGTAGCAGTATAATTATGGTAGCACTTAAGGATTTGTTGAGAAAGTCTAAGTAGAGAGTAGAAGACGGAGGGTAGGAACCATCTCAATAGACAGGGCTGAGTCACGCTGGGTGAAATGCACATTTTATATATATATATATATATGCACCATTGGTGAGGGCTAGAGCTGCAAGTATTTATTTTTTAGCTCTGTAATTTAGGAGGGTTTAGATATGGGTGACTTCGACAGATGGAAGGAAGAGGGAAATGAGAGAACACTTAACACTTGGCTTAGCTGTCAAGAAGCAAGCAGAGGATTAGAGGCAGCTATGAACAAAGATTGAAAAGGATGGAAAGAGGAGAAAACAAAAAATTTCTTTGTCAGCTGGGGTCAAGGAATTTCAGAATTTCTTTGTGCCCCAGTGCCCAACTGAAGGACCTCAGAGGCTGCTCCCAGTGACCACAGTCACTGAGTGGTCCTTGGCATTTTTTTTCCAGAGATCCGCACATGACAGAAAAGACGAGAAGCACATCCTGACTCAGGATATGCGTAAGGAGACCATTTTTGCTGGCTAAAACCTCAGCTCAACAACCTGAGAAGAAGGTTACCTAAAATATTTCAAGCTTGCCTTTTGTCCTGAGTGTGTCTTTTCCAATACGATGCGATTTCCAGTTCTTCAAAGACTAGAATTTTCACAGTTGGAAGGGAACCCAGGAGCTGAGAAGCAGCAGATGTGCTGGGTTCGAAAGAAAACTACTCAGCTCCTTTTGGTTTTTCTTTTCTCAGCAAGGCAGTTCTTGCTGCTTATGCTTCAGAGTAGCCTTGCCTTACCTGCGTTTGCCTGGTGTACCCCTGCCACAGAGGTGCTTCGGTGTCTGTGCCTGTGGGGGACAAACAGGGCTTACAGGCCAAATGGCTGAACAAGGCCAAGCAGTATTTTTCAAGGATTTTTCCCTTTTTAAGAGAAAATTGAAGTCACTTGGGTAAAATTTCCACACACTTTACAAGTGTTTAATTCAATCAGCTCTCAAAATTATTTGGTGTCTCTGTCAGCCTTTTCTGCTTGGTGTGCTGAGCGTTGTTTCTCCCAGCTGTACCGAAGGGAAGCATCAGAGCCGCCAGTGTTTTGAAGGGTCTGCAGAAGGATGCTCTTCCAGTCCCCTGTGAGAGGTATGTTAGAAGTCCATTGATCCCTAAAAAGGAATCCAGGAAACCTGGTTGAAATGGTGCTGGTTTTTCCTTTGGAACTTTCTACTGGAGATACGTTTCCCTCATTAAGTATTTGGCACTCTCTATTTCTTCAAATTTCCTTTGTGAAATGCAAAAGCCCTGCTCCTCTGAAGTCCCCAGCATCCCCTCCAGTTGTGGGGCAGTCAGTGCTTTGCTGCCTGGTTTTCCATGGCTGGGTCTCAAGACAGGAGGTTGGGAAAATGTAAAAACAAGTCAAGCAAAAGGCATTCACAGGCATGTTTTGATTGCCCGTAGCGCTGGAAGTCAGGGTTGCTTGGGAGACATCTGGTAACTTTTCTGTTGAATTGCAATTGTTAATAAATAGATTGGTAAATCTCCATAAGCCTTGTTGATTAAATCTTAATTTTCCTATTAACCGTCTAAATGTTTGCATGGCTATTACTTCTGTAAAATGGAATAAAACAACAACATGAAAAAACTTTCATCTAATGATATTTTATTTGCTGTTGTCCAAGTGTTTATGTTTATTATCAATTTGTCTAGGGGAATGAAAG